TGTCTGTCTGTCTGTCTGTCTGTCTGTCTGTCTGTGTGTGTGTATCTGTGTGTGTGTGTGTGTGTGTGTATGTGGACTGAGGGCTCTTACAGCAGATTTCACTCCTCCGGGTCGCTCCAGATCCCAGCCGGACGTGTGGATGCTGCGGTCGGTGTTGGTGAAGGATGAGGGTTTGCTCGTCTGCAGCCCCTCCAGCAGAGCGCTCTTCCCTTGCCGTGGAGGACCCACCACCATCAGCTTCAGCAGTCTGCAGGGCTCTGCTCCTCGCAGCTCCGCTCGCAGATACGCCAGAACCGCAGCCGGACCTGCACACGCACACAAGTCAATCGCTGCGTCCGGATATGCCTACTTATAAATGTCTGAATTCACAGCATTTGAAAAACTGTAGGAAAAGTACCCGGATGACCTACTGCTTCCAGTGAGATTCTGAGGTTTCATCTGAATTTCATTCATACTACCCATATTCATACTATATGTGACTCTGGACCACAAAACCAGTCATAAGGGTCAATTTTTTGAAATTGAGATTTATATATCATCTGAATAAATAAGCTTTCCATTGATGTATGGTTTGTTAGGATAGTATCAATATTTGGCCGAGATACAACTATTTGAAAACCTGGAATCTGAGGGTGCAAAAAAATCTAAATACTGAGAAAATCGCCTTTAAAGTTGTCCAAATGAAGTTTTCTGGAACATGATCTTTACTTAATGTCCTAATGATTTTTGGCATTAAAGAAAAATCAATAATTTTGACCCATACAATGCATTTTTGGCTATTGCTACAAATATACCCCAGCGACTTAAGACTGCTTTTGTGCTCCAGGATCACATATAGTATGTACATTTTAACGGTTGTGAAGTAAGTATCAAACCAAATATAGAACCTACTGGACAGTATGCGAGTTCAGACGCAACTAATGTCTCCATCACTACACTACATATTCCTTATTACTTATAGTGGCATATTTATCTTTATTTTTTTATCTTTGTTTTTTTTATCTTTAATTAAATAGTTTAATTCTTAAAAGACTTCATTTATTTATTTTTTGGTTCCATTTGTTAACATTGTTAACATAGTTAACATGATCTAACAATGAAAAAATGCTCCTCAAGCATTTATTAAAATTTACATTACATTATTAAAAAATCAAAAGTTGCATCTGTTAATATTATGTTAATAATAATAATAGCATTTTTATAACGTTAACAAAGATTATTAAACACATGTAACAAATGTATTAATGCATTATCTAAGCCTCGTACACACCGGGATGATTATTGCGAGCGCTTATCGCCAGCGTTTTTTTCGACGCGTCTTTTGTGTTCATACCCAAGCGATTTTCGCTGGCGATGAGCCGCTTGAACGTGCAAATTCACTCCCTGACATTAGATGCACTGTAAAAAAAATTCTGTAGTTTTTACAAAATAATTTTGGCAGCTGTGGTTGCCATAATAATTTTGTAAAAAATGTGGAGTGTCATGCAGGGAATTCTGGGAATATCAGTTTACAGTATTTTACTGTAAATTATACATTGATTTGTTATTTTTTACTTCTAAAAACTGTCAAATTAACAGCATTTTACTGTAAAATTACATGAAATGTCTGGTTAGATATTTTACAGTTTTTCCCTGTATATAGTACGGGAACTTACTGTTAACCTATTAAGAGTTTTTTTCCGTAGCGTTTTTACAAAATTTTACAGTTAAAATGACACGTATTTTTTACAGTGTGGCGCTTCATGAAAAACAGAAATACCCCGGTACACATCGAATCCTATTTGATCTGCAATTCCTCTCTATAACAACTCTCTCTTATCGAGATTTTGTAGTCGCTGTCGCGTTTGTCATAAAGCTCTTTGTGTTCAGACATCAATGAGACCAGCAGCTCTACATTCATCTTGCCTCGATGCATCTTCTTGGTCTACTTACTTCCTCTTTGTCGTTAGGTATCAATGTGTGCTCGGCACAAAATTTATAAAGTCTTTGGTGGTTTGATACACCAGAGCAAATACGAAAATCTGAACGGCTATTTGAAAACATGTAAAAACTGCC